GATAATACAGAGATTAAGCTAGTTCCTCATAAAACAAAAGTATTCAAAAATACTGTTGAACATTTACTACGCGACATTCTTTAATTGACGGAATAAATTTTGGAAACAATAACAGATCGGCACACCAATACTCAGACAAATTTATATATAGCGTGTGCGATGCACATTCCGTTCTATTGTATGGTTCTTAAAAGTCTTGTATTTTTAATATATTGTTATGTAGATATAATACAATCCAATGCTATGCATAAACTTGCCAGTGCATTAGACAAACCTCAATATAAGAACTTTTTATGAATTAGGATGACGTCAAAATGGCCCCCCTCTATATGATCAACGGCCGCTGATATACCGTTCACTAATAGGGAAAGTATTTTCCGCACTTACTTTTACAAGATGCACTGGTTCCATTTAAGTACTTTCCAAACCCTGCCATACACAAGCATTCACCACCTATTGCGTGACTACTCCATTCACCATTAGCCATGCAATTTCCATACAAGGTCATATTATCAGCCAATGGCTGAGCGTTTTGAGCACAAGATCCTCCAATCTGTATTGTTCCGTTAGCTGGTGCAATCGTTTCAGTTAGATGAACAAGATTTGATGACAAAGCCATAGAAGAACAAAATGAATAGCTCAAGACCACTTCGAACAAGCGAAAGCATCCTCCTTGGTATCGAATGGCAAGGTAGTAGTATGGTGTTGAACGATTCGTGAAGAAGGAGTATGTCTCGTTATTTAATTCGGGCTTATCGAGATCTTTAGAGATGGATCTTGGTTTTGTGGTTCCAAAGTTTTGATATGATTCAATATTTTTATTGGGTTCCGGGACCTTGTTCTGTAAGTTACCATACTTCCACGATGTTTTATGCACGAATAATTGTAAGTTGTCCTTGCAATGCTTGATCATAGTGCATTTAGAAACGGCGTATTTTAATGTTACATCGACCCTTGTTGCGTTTTTAACATGAATTTCGAGACTTCTTAACCAGAGGTTTGGTTCTTGTGAAGGGCTTACGTCACACACAGTGAAAACTGGCTTCTTTGGTCCATGATCCTTCTTCCACTTTGGTTTGAAAATGACAAAACAATTATGAGAGGGATAAGTAAAATATTCTCTGCTTTGATACAGTAATAATAGAGTACAAACAC